GATTTATGCTTATTAAAAAATAGTGGAATAATTCAAATTCTGACGCAATACACTTGGAGATATTATATTAACAAGGTTTAAACAACTAGCACCATACACTGTACATTAGTACTATGAGACAATAATTTGACCCTAGTTGACACAAGAGGGCGCATCAAACTCGGTTATATGTTGCCAAGTACAGAATTGATCACAGAGTATGCTTGTAATCTAATGGGCGCGATTTTAAGGTTGTCTGTTTCATTAAGACTGTGGTAACCAACACGGGATGTATGATTAATTCAAAGTAAACAAAAGTGCAAAACCACACAGCATTGTTGGAGAGAGCTTCTTATAAAACAATAATTTTGAATATTGATTTGCTAACTGGTCATATCCCTATACTGAGACGTTCTACTTTGTTAGGTAAAATTGTGTTCACAGTTTAAAGAATTATATATTTACTTAGAAAGAATATTAATTTATTTATAAGAACTACAATATTCCAAAATCGAGAAAATCGAGAATCAGTCGAAAAAGTGGTTTTGAACTAGAAAGTTGAAATTATCAAAATATTCTATCGAATAACTTACCAGTTCTCTCTAGGAATCTCGTTTTAATTGGTCACTCGTGTATTGCCTAATGCTTGGTGTACAAGTATCCTGTTATAATAAGGGGTGACAGAAATATTGGGTAAATAAATCACTGATTTAGAAATGCACAGTAAGACATTGGATTTTTGAATTGAAAATAATCATACCTGTGGAATGTAAAGTTGTATCTTGCCACGGTCAATCTGGTCCAATCCCCAATGACCAATGCTTGCAGCTCCCGTATCTTGCGTACACTGTGATCTTCTGCAATGTTTCTGTCTTCTTATTAGACACGCCTATGTTTAACATACGATATTCCAAGATATGATAAGATATGTTCACACTTGAACTGTATATGTGTCATTAAGGTTTAATGTGCCAAATAATAAAGCTGACAAGTAATACAAATAAGGTTGTATGGTGTTGATAACTGACACAAGCAATATATTTGATACTCAATTACTGGTGTATTAACGGGTGATTGTTGGTAGCATATTATATTTCAGTATGCGAGTCTGTGCTATATATTTGTAGTCCACTTAGTTGAATGTTGTTACTATATGTTATGAGAAACATTGGTTACGTTTTACTGTTTATTGATGGTGGATGTTCATCTTTGACTTCAGGGTACATATCATATTTTGTATTGTCTTTTATTCTTATATATGCTTGGTGTATTATTTAAGACAAAAAATGTGGATTTAGATGTGGTTGTTAGACCAATAAGTGACTGCATGAGATGGAATTGGTGCAACATTTTGTTTGGTTGCAATCTGATGTCATTTTAACAAAGATAGAATGCGTCGATATTGGTGAGGCTATAAGCGAGTGCATGTATTCATTTGATGTTAAATATTTTGGTGTGTTTTATTCTACACATGTATATGTGTGTATCGTGTTTATTATACGGTATGCCGATGAATCTACATTTGATTGTTGGATTATTCATTCAGTGCATGATGTATTTGATGATATATTTTGGTAGATAGTCTGTTTATATTGGTGTTACATTATGTATTGATGTTGTTGGGTATTCGTGTGAAAGCTTGTCATAAATCATATTACGTTACATATTACGTTTTGCTGTATGCTTCAGTTAATATTTTATACAGTATTTCTGGAGGATCTACGGGTTAATATTGTTAACATATCATAGCGTTGTTGTTATTGGTTTTTTCAGTAAGTTACTCAGTGTTATTGAGATTTGGTGTTATATTTGTGTACTTTATTGACATAGTTGGTGTTCTCGGTTCTCTGACTGTATGTTCTGAAATTGATGTTGTATATCGGTAAAATGTAAAATCTAATTTTATTGTTGTGTTAAATTTGGTTGATATTAGAGGGTGTTAAAGTGAGTGATTTTCTGGATGTGTTGCATGTTGGTTGATGAAGTTTGGCCATTGGGTACGTGACTGTCTCGAATGTGGTGTTACATTTTCTATAGATCCCCGAGTGGTATATATTTGTTACTCAATTGTTGGTACATCTTGATGCGAATTATGTGATTGTTTGTGGTTCTGTGAGTGGGTACTGTTCTTCGATCTCGTACTCTATATTTGTAGACCACTAATTTGCACAATAGTATTAGTATTACT